CTTCTTGACATGGCCATGGCTATGTCAACAGCACACACTCAGGACTTCACACACTAAGGGCTTTCTCAGCTCCCATAGTTTGTCCTTGGTGAACTATTTGGAGTGAATAGATAAGATGCTTGTTTTGTCTCCACAGGAAAAGTTGATGCAACATTTGGCACCCAGAGACATGACAAGGTGAATTTGGGGAGGAACAATTACATTGTCTCTGCTGTGGGTGAAAAGGCATGAAACTAACTGAAGCCAAGCCACCCTAGGCTGTAGAATCTGTGGAGACAATCCCAACATGGCTTGTTCCAGGAGTAGGCAATTATATTCACCTAGAGTTAACTGCACATTTCTCACCTGTCTGTAAGAAAGTATACAGGGAGATGCAGGCAGATCTCTGTTAAGTATAAGGCTAGCCTGATCTACATAGCAAGTTCCAGGACAGCCAGAACTACACAGTGAGACCACTTTAACAACAAGGTAAACAAACAAAAATGAGGTTAGGAGGGTGGTGCATGTATTTAACCCCAGCATTCATGAGACAGGCAGGTGGACCTCTGTGAGTTCAAGGCCAGCCTTGTCTACACAGTGAGTTCTGGGCCACCCTCAATTACTTAGTGAAACCCTATCTCCAAAAAAAAAAAAAAAAAAAAAAAAAAAAAGGGAAGAAAGTATGGAGGGTGGGGTGAAGGGAATGGGATGGGAGGAATGGCTCAGCAGTTAAGAGCAATGACTACTCTTTCTGAGGACCTGGCTTCAACTTCTGTCACACATATGGTGGCTAACAACTAGCTCTAACTCCAGTTCCAGGGACTCCAACACTCTCTTATGGCCTGCATGGGCACTGCACATATTTTGCACATACATGCAGACAAAACCCTCATACACATAAAATAAACATACCTTTTCTAAAAGTATGCTGGGGGCTGGAGAAATGGCTCAGTGGCTAAAAGATTAAATTGCTCTTGGAGGAGTCCCCAAGTACAATTTCCAGCACTCAGCTGTGTGGCTCACCTGTAACTCTAAATCCAGGGAGATCTGATGCCTCTGGCCTCCATGAGTGCCTGCTGGCCCACACATATACATAATTAAAAATAATAAAATAATTTTTAAAGTGTGACAAGTAGAGATTATTTAGCGTGGGCCCCTTTCAGCAGCCAAATATGGCCAGTGGAGAGACAGGAGCCAACTGCCTAATGGTAGACAGATGAGAGTATAGCCCTACATCTCCCTGGCCTCAATCTGTTCAAAGTAGTAAGAGCCACCTTGCCCTTCAGAGGTGTGGAAGACACACATGGAGTCTCATAGCACACTCTAGGTTGAGGTGAAAAGGCTCATGGAGAATGCTCATTATGGAGGGACTAACTCAAGTAGTGCCTGCCTTCCATCCTAGCCATTTTATCTACCACTCATCTTTTGAGGAAATAAATTAAGCAATGGAATCTTTTCATTCTGTATTGTACCTTGCTAACTTAAATTTTTTTTTTTCAAGACAGGGTTTCTCTGTGTAGCCCTGGTTGTCCTAGAACTCACTCTGTAGACCAGGCTGCCCTCAAACTTACAGAGATCCACCTGCCTCTGCCTCCCAAATGCTGGAACTAAAGACATGCACCACCACCACCTGGCTTCTTGCTAAATTTTTTTTAACTATCCCCTTAACAGCTGATTCCTGAGATCATTGGCACTTGCTTAGAATGGTAAGGGTTGGGCCTTTGTAAAACAGCATAGGGCAGGTGATAGTATACTGTATGGGTGGAAAAAGATGATTCCATAAGCTATAAGTTGCTAAACAGGGGTGGGCTATTTCCTTACAAGTTCATGGTCAGAGAGGCCCCCAAAACTATAGAGATCACTGCTCTTGGTCGTCCAACAGCTAAACTGCAAGATTCTATTTTGAAACACTTTACTCTTTGGTTACAGAAAATCATGCTGGGACTGAACAGAAAGCTCCCTCCATGCTGGCTAGCTTTCATAATATTAATGAAAGGCAAGGAGCTGACAACGGACTGACCAGCAGACAGACAATTGCAAGGAGACAGATTATTATCAGGGATGAAGGTGGTGAGAGAGGAAGAAGAGGGGCAGAGGGACATGGAAAGAGAGAGGCAAACAGAGATGTACTATCTTTTTTGAGTATTTGGTACTAGGATGGAACCTAAAGCATACTCAGCAAGTACTCTAACCTTGAGCTACATCCCCACCCTAGATGTATGTCAAATTGGAGACCATTCAAAATTAAGATTAGAAGAGAAAAGAGATGCATCCAGATTCACCAGTACACAAGACAGAAGCAGAGAAGCCACACAACCCAGAGAAGCAGTGAAAGCAATGTGTCCAACAGCCATACTCAGCAACAGAAAAATCCTGCCTGCTCTTGCCCACCAGTTATCTCAGCACATGTTCAAATGTAGGCAGGTTACAGTATAAATGGCTACTGTCAATTTCTTCCTATATGCTGTATATCCATCCAGAAAAGCCTTTAGCTACCCCTCAACTGTGTGTCATAACCCCTTTGATAAACTATCTCCAAAAATATTTACGTTATGATTCATAACAGTACAAAATTAGTTTTGAAGTAGCACCGAAAATACTTTTATGGTTGGGGCGGGGCTCACAACATGAGGAACTGTATTAAAGGATCATAGCATAAGGACGAGTGAGAACCACTGCTATAAGCAGCCCAGGTTACTATGCTGAAGACTGAAGTGCCAGACATTTTGTTTTGTTTTTATAAACATTGGCTGTACAGACCAGATGTGCTTCTGATGCCTCTAGCCCTAGCTACTACATAAGAGCAACTACCTGAGATCCAAGAGGAGCCAAATACCCTTACTGTGCAACCCACAGGGCCATAGGATAGAGTACAAAGTCACCAAACTTTAGTGTTGCACAGCTCTAGACAACCAAGAAAGGCAGCAGTGGCCCTTGTAAGGCTTGTCACTCTCTCACACATATCCTCTTCCATAACAAAAGCAACAGTAACCAGTCCTTCTTTCAATCCCTTTAATAAGGTGCTTGGAGGAACCAGGAGAATAACAGGCAGGAGGTGGACAAAGTAGTGTGCTTCTTAAGCCCTTCTCAGTAATTCATCACTCATCTTCTGGTAACTTGATCTTGCTGGGATCAAAACAGTTGGATTCCATGATGGGGAGGCCATTGGCTTCTCGATATTTCACAAGTCTCTCAGCTTCTCGGCGGGCCCACTCTTGCATTCTAGAAGCAGCAACAGGTGTGGTCTGATTTAAAAGAGCCTCACTAGACACCAGTTCCCCACCTCAGCACCCCATACTCCACCAGTTCTGGGCAAGGATTCTGGTCATAGACGTTCTCAACCTTTACCCTTGCCTCTGCCTCTACCCGCTCTATTCTTTTGGAAAACCCCTATACCTGTAGTCAGGCAGATATGCCACAAAGGTGGTACCCAAGACCAGGACGATGGAAAAACCAAAGAAGAAGACAGCCCGCATATTCCAGACGTCCACCACAGGGTCCTGGTCATAACCATGAAAGTCTGGGTTCTGAGGAGAAGGAGAAGTCAGTAAGAGCTTCCTACTGTTTCATAAAGATATATGCTGGCTCTGTATATATCTTCATGTTGGTCTCTAATCTGCCCTCAAACCAATTTATTATTCCTCAATAAAATCCTTTTCTTACTCTTAGGGTATATGAAGTTCCTTCTCACCAAAGGGCTTTGGTATTTGCTGCTCCCACTGCCTAGAAAGCTCTTCCTCCAAATTTAATCAAGTCAAAGCTGGATCCATCCCCATCTCCTCATCCAAGGTTTTAACTTTATTTCCAAATTGGCCTCACCTACTTGTTTGGGAATCATTACCAAATCTCCCTGTCAAGTTGCATCCTTGGGAAGTGCTATTTATAAAGGATTTAAAATGGCTAAATACTGATAATTTCCCATGGGTCCACTTATCCTATAACACCCTATATATTTAAGCCCCTCAACCAGAGGTTAGTATTGATGAACTACTCATATGCTAGTATACAAACCTCACATATCCCAGTAAAGTGGAAAAGGCGATAATAAATATCTAATTGAATAGTTCTGAAATGGCAGGAACTGTTGTGACCATCCTGACTCATTTAATCATATGAAGCAGGTCTATTTTTTAGCTGTCCTATTACATTTCTCACTTTACAAAGAAACTGAGGTATCAAGATACTATAAACTACTTGCCCAAGGTCACACAAATGAATAATTTCCAACCCAGGGTGTCTGACTACAGAGTCTCTGTTATTCATAAAGCACAGAAATTCAGTTAGTCTTAAATTCCAGTATCAGCTCCTCTACCTACTCAAGTTATTTGATCTTGGGCAAGCAACTATTTGTTTCAGTATCCTCATCCGTATAATGGTAACAGTAGTAGCGTTTACCTCCAAATCGCCCTGTTTTGGAACTTATATGAGTTAATAGATACAAAATGTCTAGCACAGACTCGCACCGAGCACGTTCCATCTCAGAATTTAGCATTATCTTGATTATAATGTTTCTAACGCGCTTTGGGTGCTGCCCACTTTAAGTGTGATTTCGAGTTCTAGACCAAAGACATCAAAAAAAGAGGAAAACAAGCCAAAATTGTGAATCTTTGAAGATCTTGTCCACGGCGCAAGCCTCGAGTCAGAGAACGTCCTCTTAGACATGGGTCTGCCAGTCGTAGATTGGTCCCTGCGGCATCCCGTTCCCTTCCCCCCCACTCTCACCTTCGCGTAGACGTTTTCGTCCTCGGGTTCTGGGTCCTCCTGCCAGCGCATGGTCGGTTCTTGTTGCCGCTTTCTCTCCACAGCAGACGGAGAGATTACAGCCCTGGAGGATTCCCAGCGAACGCGGGCACCTGGGAGCCCTCGTACCGCTGCTGCTGCCGAAAGGCGGCGAGCATACAAACTTAACAGCCGGGCCGCCATGACAGCTCGTGCTGCTGGGTCGGGGTTGGGGGAACGGCGCGGGGTGGGGGGGAGGGGGAACACGGAAATGCTATGTGCGCAGCTGCGGTTGATCCCAGCGCGATTTTTGTCGCTCCGCCCTCACCTCGCTAAATAGATCCTAGGTCTAAGTTTGTTTTCGAGAGAGTTGTGGACTCTATTTTACTTCCTGCGCAGTGTCGCTACCAAGTCAACTTTATCCTTTTTGTCAGGCTGGGAGAAATTTGGTCTTGAGAGGTCTGTTTATTTTCTTCATAAGAAGAAAGCGGTGACATCCCGATGGCCTTGTGGGGAAGGAGGCGGAGCTTCTGCTTGTCTTTCAACTTCAAAGGAAAGCAAGCTCTAAAAAGCGGGCCTCATAGAGGTAGCCAATAGCTACTCTTTTTCTGGACTCCCGGGGCGTTCTCACGGGGGATGGGGCGGTAGTTATATGATTGCCAATCAGAGAAGGGCAGGGCCAGCCCATGGCGTCCGGCAACCAATCGTCAAAGCCGGCCAGAGCGCGCTCCCTTAGTAGGTGGTTGGTGGTCGGAGCGCCGACTGCCTTCTCCTCGTCGCCATTTTGTGTCGGAGACTGTGGCCGTCTGGGAGGAGGCGGCACTGAGTTTCCTTGGGAGGGCAGCGCGTCGGGCGCGTCTCCCCTCCCCCCTTCCTCTCTTTTGCCCCCAGCCTTGGACTTGGTTGTTGGCTCTGGTCGGCTCCCGTTGAACTAGCAGTTCTGGAGGAAGTGGCGGCTGGCGGAGGTGATGCCTGGGAGCCCTGCCTTGACAGCCCGGACCGAGAAGGTGAGCACCTTTGCGGGTGGTGGGGGCCAAGGCAAGGGAGCGGGGCGTGCGCGGGGGTACGGTGTACATAGAAGAGGCGCGGGGATGGATTGCACACTCGGGGTTCACACAGAGTCAAGTGATGTACCTGAGAGGGGGTGTCCCCCCCCCCGGCTTTTTCTTATGAAAGCAAAAGCGCGTGCGCGATTGGGACACGGGATGGGTGCACGAGGGTGGGGGAAGGGAAGGACAGATGGGAATGGGGTACTGTGACTTACTGTGTTTGCTCCACTGAACTTTTATCTTTTGGAACGTGTGTGTCTGCGACTTTGCGGCGGTATTCTTATTTCAGGGGTGTGCTGGCTGCCCTGTGTTACTTAGATATCCACGGAGAAATGATCTGGCTGCGGCCTCTGTTCATTTATGTAGCAGGGATGGGGGTGACGACCGCGGAGAGGGAAAGTGAATAAGGACCTCCGGTCCTTATTGGTGAGGAAGCTGTCGTGTTACTGGCCGACCCCAACCTATTAAGTGAATGCTGGGGAAGGTGGAGTGGACAGAGACGATATATGCTACTTTTCTTCTTTTGGTAGTTGTATCTGACACTGATTGTTTGATTACGTGTCTTGTGGTTTTCCTTCTGTTTTCTTGGCCCTTGGTTATTTAGGGGCTCACCTGCAACTTTAATTCTTATCTGTGGTGTGTGTTTGACAATGTTTAACTTACCTTTTTGCCATTGAAGGGTTTGCATCAGGTTCTCGGCCACTAGGGTTCCTGGTTGATTATTTTCCCCCACCTGGGAGCAGTTAACTGGTTCCCGGTGGTCTGACGTGTAAGAGAAAATGGGTACATGTGTACTTGGAGAAAAGATGTGATGGCAACTTAGTGTTTGGCATAACGGTAACCTGCTTTGCTTTACTTGGTTCCTGTACAGTGGGTGCCAGCAGAAGATTCAAGGATAATTCTGATCCCTGGTTGGGTCGCTTCACTCTCAGCCCTAAAAGTTAGATGAAATGACTGCTCCCTTCAACTGAGTAGAACAAGATGTTTTAGAACCACCTCAGAAAGAGGCTCCTTTTGCCTCTGCAAAGCTTAGCCTATGATCCCTGGGGAAGAGATTCAGCTGGGGACCTGGCTGCACGGACCAGAGCTGTGTTGGCCAGGAGCCCAGGAAGATGGCAGCTGTCTTGTTGCCAAGTTAGCCCCTACACACACAACTTTCTCCCTCAATTCCTTCCATCCTTTCAAGGTTTCTGACTGCCTTGTCATGGTATAGTTGGCATCTTGTTGGGAGAATGAAATGATACCTTGTTGCTCTCTTTGGTGTTTTGCTGGTTGTTTTGTGATGCTGGGAATGTGGCTTAGGGGTCAAGTGTTCTACCCCACAACTATGTCACCATTCAATTATTGTGATCTCTGTGACATACCTAATCCAGGCAGAACATTCAGCACTTGTTCTAAGAATGCAAAGCCTTGATCACATAGCTGATGGGCCCAACAGATCTCTTTAAGATTCTCTTTGTTTGATAAGGGCTTTACTGTTTTGGGGGGCAGTGGAATCTTGCTTCATCTTGTGGGGAAAGGAAGGAGAAAGCCAAATGGGGCTGTCTTCCTGCAGTGATTCACAGGAGCACAAGGAAGTAGAAAACAATGTCTCTGGGCTACAGGATAGCTGAGAGCCTTGACAAAGAGTCTCTCAAGGAGTCCCTCTCTGCACCAACTGCTTTGACCCCTTTCTTCCTTCCATTCTCTGCAGAGTCTCTGCATGAGGCATCACCCAGGCAGGCAGATCATGGTGGCAGCGGGGGTGGCTGGGAAGTGAAACGGAGCCAGCGACTGAGGAGGGGCTCCAGCAGCTCCCAAAGATCCTATCAGGACATGGAGTATGAAAGACGGTGAGTTATTCACTCCTTTCAATCCCAAGTACTATAGGCAAACCCCCATATGAGCACTGATCCAGGAAGATGCTATGGGGCACTTCTAGGCAAAAGAAACAACACAGCCAAAGGAGTGGATTCTTTTCAGCATACGTGTATCTATGCTCTGAGAATGCAGAGATGGATGAGACATAATGATTGTGGGTCTCCTCTCATGAGAAACTGCATTGTTATGTATGGTCTTAACAAGGAAGACTACATAGTTTACAGGTGATTGCCAAACAGTCTGATGAGTACCATGGCTGTATATGAAGGTGAGTTTCTTGTTAGTATGGCTGTGGAGGCCATAAAATGATCCCAGTTATCTACCTCAATTGCGCTCCCCCATTTTTTTTTTTTTTTTTTTTTTTTTGAACACAGAGCTCATGGACTTAGCTGTCCTGGCTAGCCATCAAGCCTGAGGGAGCCTCCTTTCTCTACTTCCTCAGCACTGGGATTACAGGCGTGTGTCACACACATGGTGTTTTTATATGAGTGACTGGGGTTTTGAGCTCAGGCCCTCATACTTTAAACCACAAGCAATTTACTGATAAAGCCATTTTCCAGACCTGTGAGGGTGGGTTTTGTTTTCTCTGGAAACAGAGTTTCCCTCTATAGTCCATACTGACCAAGTTGTGGTCCTGTTGTTTCAGCTTCCTAAGAGAGCTGGAGTGACAGCATATCTAGTTCATATAGGGTGTTTTTTTTTTTTGATTTGAGTTGGGTCTTGGCTCTGTTATCTAAGCTGGTCTCAAACTCCTGAGTATAAGTGATATTCTATTCCCACTTCATTTTCCTGAGTAGCTGGAAATGTGACCTCTCATTGGGCTTTTTCAACTCTGATACTAAACAAACATTTAGGACACTTGGTACAATTTAAAGATTTTGGATGTAAGTACAGGATCCTTTGGCACCCTGGTAGATTACTGCCCCAGGTGATTCTGAAGCGAATGACCTATCCACTATATTGTAAAAGCCTAGGAAGGCAAACTGAACTTAACATTCACCAAGTCTATTCTTAATAAATTTGCTAGACATGGTGGTATGTACCTGAAATCCTAGCACTTGGGAGGTAGAGGCAGGAGGGTTAGGAATTTAAAACCAACTTGTGCTACATGAAACCTTGACTTGAAAAAATAGTCGATGAATTTATGAAACATTGAAAAAAAGCAGTTTTTGAAAAGTCTTTGTGGAGTGGGGTACTGGGGATTGGGTCTAGATTGCACAACTCAGCAAGTGCTAAACCATTGAACTGTTTTATATCCTCAGCCCTTTACATTTTAATTCTGACATAGACTCTAAATAGCCCAGCTTGGACTTGTACTCAATCTGTAGCCCAGACCAAATTTGCAGGCATGACCTTACAACTGTCCTCATTTGGTCTCTGAGTATCTAGGTTTACAGGCCTACACTACCAGACCCAGTGTATGAAGACATTTTATTTATTTGTTTGCTTGTTTAATGTGTGTTAATGTTTGCTTGCATGTGCCTTTGCATCACATGTGTTTCTGGTGCTGCCAGAAGAGGGCATTGGATCCCCTGGAACTGGAGTTAAGACAGCTAGAAATCGAACTTGAGTTATCTGGAAGAGCAATCAAGTGTGCTCTTAACTCTTGAGCCATCTCTCCAACCCGTATTTATTTGTTTGTTTGTTTGTTTGTTTTGAGATAGGGTTTCACTATGTAGTGAAACCTTATATCTGCCTGGAACTCATTGGAAATGCCACCACTACCCCCAAACCTCCCAGGTGTTGGGACTAATATGTGCCACATTGACCTCCTTTTAAAACTGTCTTTTGAAAGGCATTTGGTGGCTAGAAATATTCTCAGTGGTAGAACTCTTACTCAGCATGTGTGAAGTATTAAGTTCAATACAGTATTCCCTTAGGGGAAGATTAATTTGATTTTAGACCATAATCACTACAAGTACTGTGTGACTGAGCTCTACGTAGCCATACTCTTGGACTTGGTTGCCAAGTAAAACCACTGGTTTTCAGCTGGGCGGTTGTGGCTCAGGCCTTTAATCCCAGCACTCAGGAGGCAGAGGCAGGTTGATCTTTGTGAGAGGACAGCCTGGTCTACTGAGTGAGTTTGAGAAACCCTGTCTTGAAACAAGCAAACAAACAAACAAACAAACAAAAAAAACTCACTGCTTTTCCTTTCTTTTTTTTTTTTTTTTTGAGAATCTGAGGTTTGAAATTACCACTTTCCAGTTCTAAATAGGCTTTATCATAGATCAGTCATCACAAGGCCTTTTCTTACTGTTTATTTTTCTCAGTTTATCCCAAATTTCCACCTCTGTAGGCAGCAGTCCTTTTTGTGCTTAATATGTATCCTCCTAAAATAGGTAGTATTATCTCAAGTACCTGTTTTCAATTCTTATGAATATTGTAGTGTTACAATTTTTTGTTTCCAAAACTCAATATTATTCAACACTATATTTCAGCTGTCTCTATTGCCATTTGTATATTAATGTTTTGTTTGTAATTGCTGCCACACCTCATGGTGCCCTTGTTACATTTTACATAATAGTGTGTGCCTGCCAAGAATAGATACTGTTTTTGTTGTTGTTGTTGAGACAGTATCTCACACTGTAAAGCTCAGACTGACCTGAGATTCTTGGTAATCTTCCTGCCTTAACAAATCCTTACTTTCTTGCTCCCCTCTCTTTTTGAGACAGAGTCTCACTATGAAGCTCTTGCTGTTCTGGAACTTGTTATGTAGACTCAGCTGGCCTTGAACTCACAGAAATCCATCTCCCAAGTGCCGAGATTAGAGGCATGTGCCTGCACGTCCATATCTTGCTGTATTTGTGTTTCCAGAATCTTCCTGTCCTATATCACAAAAAGTTTTACCATATAGTTCTTACCTTGTCATTCACATCTTTATTTCATTTAGAATCCAGTTTTGAATATGGTACAGATAGGTTTTAGTTTTGTTTTCATATAGTGGTCAGTTTGTTGAGTACCATCTCCTAAAGAGTTCATTTTTGTTCAAGTTCCCTCCATCTTGAGTGATCTAGGTTGTTCCATTTAGCTCTTTGCTTATTCTTATACTATAACCTTACTGTTTGCATTACTGTGGATTTATACAGTTTCTTACAAGCTCCCTCATTGCTCCTATTTTTTTAAAGTTGATTTAACCATTTGTGGCATTTTATTCCATGTAAAAACTAATCTAAGGGCTGATACTGAATGTGCTTAATTAATATGTGTGAGGCCCTGGGCTCCATCTCCAACATTGCAAATTGCTTTTAAAAAGTCATCTCAAAACATGACTTTTGATTAAGATTACATCAAATTTCTATATTTAGTGAGGGGGAAAGTGTCTTTGTAAGTAGCCATCTTTTCCAAGACCTATAATGAAGCATACTTTCTTAGAATTTTTTTTAAAAATTATTTTTTTATATGCATTGGTATCTTGCTTGTATGGATGTGTGAGGGTGTTGGGTCTCCTGGAACAGGAGTTACAGACAGTAGTGGTCTGGCATGTATATGCTGGGAATTGAACTCAGGTCCTCTGGAAGACCAGTCAGTGCTCTTAACTACTGAGCCATCTTTCCATACCCAATGAAGCATACTTCTTTGTTGTTTTTCAAGACAGGGTTTCTCTGTATATCAGCCCTAGCTCTTCTGGGACTCACTCTGTAGACCAGGCAGGTCTTGAATGCAAAGAGATCATCCTGCCTCTGCCTCCCAAGTGCTGGGATCAAAGGCATGAGCCACCAGTGCTTGAAGCATACCTTTAAATGGCACAAAAATCTACCTGTTTGCTTAAGTAATATCTTACTTTGTTAAAGTACAATCCCTAGAAAACTGGAGAGGTGGCTTAGCTTTTAAGAGCACTTGCCATTCTTTAAAAGGATGAGAGTTCAGTTCCCAGCATCCATGTCTAGTAAGTGTTCTTTACCCATGGGCCATCTCTCCAACCCCAATTTATTTTATTTTTATGTACATGTATTTGTATGTGTATGATTGTTAGAGTATGTGTCCATGTCAATGTTTGTGTATATATTTGTAGGACTGTGCACACCTGTGTTAAGTCAGAGGACAGCCTTGAGTACCTTTCACATTATGTTTGATGTAGGGTCTCTCATTGACCTGGAGCTTCAAGTAGGCTAGGCTAGCTAACCATTGAGCTCCAGGGATCCCTTTATCTCCTCCCAGATTGACATCACTGATTTACAAGTAAATGCTACTACACCTGGCTTTTTATCTGAGTTCTAGGGATCTGAACTCAGGTCTTTGTGCTTTAGAAGCAAGAGCTCTACTGACAGCCATCTTTCCAATCATACACATGTCTTTTGTCTAAGACAGTTTCTCTATGACAGCCTTGACTGTCTTGAAACTTATTTTGTTGACCAGGCTAGCCTCAAACTCACAGAGATCCATTTGCCTCTGCCTCCTCTGTGTGCTGGGATTAAAGGTGTGCATCATCATGCCTAGCTCAGATGTGTGATTTTTATATCTAAGAATGTTCAGCCCGGCAGTAACGTGTATGCCTTTAATCCCAGAATTTGGGAGGTAGAGGCATGCAGATCTCTGTGAGTTCAAGGCCAGCCTGTTCTATAGAGCAAGTGCCAAGACAGCCAGGGTTACACAAAGAAACCCTGTCCCAAAAAGTTTAAAAAAAAAACCTGTGTGTGTATTTATTTGTTGTTTATTCAGGGTCACCTTACGTGTGGTAGCACATATGATAGTAGCCCTCAGGAGATGGAAGTAGGATGATTAGGAGTTCAAGTTACTATGGAGTGAGTTCCAAGCCTGCTGGAAAGACAGACTCCTATAAAACAACAAAATATTGAGGGCTGACTGTGACTATAACTCACGTAGAATGTATACTTAGCATCTAAAGCCTTGGATTCCATTGCCAGCACAAGGTGGAGGGATGAAAGAGGATGGAAGAGAGATGAAAGTAGTAGGTGTCAGATATAATAGACCACTTTCCCTAGTCTTAAAGGAACGTGTTCAGAATGTCTCTCTCTTTTTTTCCCCCATTTGGGTAGTTTTTGTTTTGTTTTGAGACAGGGTTTCTCTGTATATTCCTGACTGTCTTGGAACTAGCTCTGTAGACTAGGCTGGCCTCGAGCTCACAGAGATCCTTCCTGCCTCTGCCTCCTGAATGCTGGGATGAAAGGCCTGTGCCACTACTGCCCAACTTCATGTTGTTAAAAGATTTATTGTTTAGACAGTATTCTCTCTGCATGTGTCCCTGCAGGCCAGAAGAGGGCACCAGATCTCATTACAGATGGTTGTGAGCCACCATGTGGTTGCTGGGAATTGAACTCAGGTACTCTGGGAGAGCAGTCAGTGCTCTTAACCTCTGAGCCATCTCTCCAGCCCCTATTTTCACATATATTAAAAAAACATTTATTTATTTTGGGGAGGGTCTTGTGCGTGTGTGTGTGTATAGGTCAGAGGACTACTTGTGAGACTGAGTTCTTTCCCCTGAGTTACTTTTCATCAGGGTTGTTTACAAGAGCATTGTTTCCTTACCAGTAACTATACCACTGGAGAAAATATTTGTCACTCCATCAACTATTAATTGCCTGTAAACCTTCATGGGGATATGGGGACCCATGAGCACATCACACTTCCGTGTGTGGTCCTCATACTTTTTGTGACAGAGTGTGATAGGCTCAGTCATAAGGAGAGCTTGCTTAGGTGATCAAAGCTGCTGTGAGTTCATAAGTACAACAGCCATGTCAAACCCAGCCCCTCACTTCCTCTATATTTTGGGTGTTTTTTTTTTTTTTTTTGAGACAGTATCTAGTCTGTCTCTTTTCCCCTCTTCTCTCCCCTTCCCCCTCCCTCCCCCTCTCTAACTCTTGTAAGGGAGGGAGGGAAGGAAGGAATAAAAGGAAGAAACTATCAGATCACTAGACACTATCAAGTTGAAAAGAAACCCCACAAAATGGGAGAATATATTTGCAGATCATGTATCTAGTAAGAGATTCCTATGTAGAAGACAAAGCTTTTATAGCACGAAAACAAAACATACCAACTCAGCAGTAGGTAAGGATGGAGGATATAGCTCTCAACCACTGAGCTATGTCCCTAGATCTTTTGTTACTGAATTCCCTGGGTTGGCCTTGAATTTGTGATTCTCCTGTCTCTGCTTCCTTGAGTGGTGCTGTTACAGGAATCGCCTGTGCTAAATTTTCTTCTTTTATACTTATTAAGTTGTTTGGATTTTTTGTTGTTGTTATTTGAGTCTTAGTCTCCCTTTGTATGTCAATGACCTCCACATTTCTATCTTCCTGCCTCAGCTTCCTGAGTCCTGAGATTACAGCATGTGTCATCATTCCCAGTATGTTTTCCTTGTACTGGTTCATTTTCTTTATTTTTGGTGCTGTACAGGGCCTAGACCTTTGTGCAAGCTAGCCACCATAAAGCTGCACCTCTAGGTACTTCTATTGCTTATGTTTTTATCTTTTTTTCCTTTGGTTTTTAGAGACAGGGTTTCTCCATGTAGCTTTGAAGACTGTCCTAGAACTCAATCTGTGGACCAGGCAACAGATCCCCTGGAGTTAGAGTTACTTGTGGGCATGAACTGCCCAACATGGGTGTAGGGAATCAAACATTAAGCCCCTGATTTTCATTATCAACATCACTGTTGTTATGTTATGGAAGTGGTGAAGCTAGAACTCAGAGTCTTGGATGTGTTGTCATTGAATTATACCTACAGTTCCTGATTTATTACTTGTAATATTTTTTGTGATCCATTTAGGCTTTGCATGGTTATTCTCAATATTAGCTACAATAATGGTGACCTTTTTTTACCTTTACAGTTCTTTATTTTTCAAGGTTTATTTATTTATTTATTTATTACATATATAGTGTTCTGCATACAGGCCAGAAGAGGGCACCAGATCTCATTATGTATGGCTGTAAGCCATCATGTAGTTCCAGGACCTCTGGAAGATCAACAAGTGCTTCTAACCTCTGAACCATCTCTCTAATCCTACCTTTACAATTCTTAATGCCCTTTCTTCCTTTCCTTATTTAATTGTTTTAGCTATTATCATTAGAATATTGTTATTGCTGGAGTATTTTGTCCCACCAGGCCCTGCTGCTTCAGCCCCAAATGAACACATGGAGATGCTATATTAATTATAAAACTATTGCCTGATGGCTAGGTCTTATTGGATAGCTCTGTCTTAATTATTAACCTATTTCTATTAATCTATTTAGTCTCATGTGGTCTTGGCTTACCAGAGAATGCCTGACATTCTAGATTCTGATTCTCTACGTGGTGCCTCTGCTGTCTGCTTACCTTTCCCAGAATTCTCATCTCCTAGTCCTGCCTATCTTCCTGCCTCCTGAATAAAACAATGTTTTATTCATCAACCAATAAGAAAAACACATGTACCGAAGGACACCCCAATCATAATGTAGTTTAAGAGTGGTGTCAATGACATCCTAGTGTTATTATTTCCCATAAGTAGAATCTTGTTTCATTCTTCTGTGGGGTGTGATTCTCCTTGCTTGAACATGTTCTATTTTTATATTTTATGTTTTTTTTTCTTCAATGCTGGATATTAAGCCCAGGTTTTTGTGTGTGGTCTGCCACTGAGCTAAACAGCTATAATAGTATATTTTCTTTTTAAATGAGCCTAAATTGGTTCTTTTAAAGTACTTTTAAAGACAAGGTCTCATGTAACCTTAAACTCATTTTGTATCTTGGCTAACCTTGAACTCCTGATTTTCCTGCCTCCACCTCTCAAGTGCTGGGATTATAGGTATGAACTGTTTGCCTACCATGAGATACTTGATCACCCACTGAGTCCTATATTAAGCTTTGAGAAATAAGGCAAGAATAAGGATTGGCATGGTTCAGTACTTCCTAGACCCACCATTAAGTTATTTTTTGTAATGTGTGAAATAGAACCCAGGGCCTTCTGCATGCTGGGTCAATGCACTACTACTGAATAATATCGACAACTCCAATTTTTTAGAAGTCTTGGTGAGGCAGGGCTTGCTATGTTGCCCAGGCTCAAGCCTTCTGCCTCAGGTGGGACTACCTCTAGTGATTTTACCCAGTGTCTGAGATGGAAATCAGCAATTTTCATATATTAGGCAAACCCTCTACCATTAGCTATGTCCATAGTCACTGTAGTAAACTTTTTGAGTGTGGGAGGAGGTTCCAGATAGGGTTTCTCTGTGTGTAGCCCTGGCTGTACTGGAACTCAGTCTGTAGACCAGGCTGGCCTCAAATTCACAGAGATCTGCTTGCCTCTGTCTCCCGAGTGCTGGAATTAAAAGTGTACACCAACACTCGACCCCTGTAGTAATCTTTTAGCTGATGAAAGATTTACAATTTAGAGCTGGAGAGATGGCTCAGAGGTTAAGAACACTGACTGCTCTTCCAGAGGTCCTGAGTTCAATTCCCAGCAAACGCATGTTGCCTCATAACCATCTATGATAAGATCTGGTACCCTCTTCTGGTCTGCAGGAATACATGTATATAAAATATACACATATATATAATATTTATATATATACAAATATATATATAAATCTTTAAAAAGATTTACAAATTAAATCAACTTTGAAATAATTATTTTACAATTAACTATAATTGAAGATTTTTTTTTTATTTTTAATTATGTATATGTGACTGTGTGGGGTTATGCACCTGTGAATCCAGATGCCCTCAGAGAGCAGAAGACGACTGTGGAGCTAGAGTTATAGGCAGTTGTGAGCTGCCCAGTCTGGGTGCCAGGAACTCAGGTTCTCTATAAAATCCTCAAAGTTGGAGAAATTTTAACTGAAGAGCTGCCGGTTCTTTCAAGATGGCTTGAAGCAGATAGAGTGGCATGCATAGAATAGATAGGAATAGATCTACAGAGACCTTACCCTGTAGACTTGGTGGGATCTCGATGGAAATTTGGGTGGGTGTTTATCTGTTTGTTTAGAAGAAATCACTAAAGCGAATGACACAATTGGGTTGGTTATCTTAGCAAGTACTCATATTTGAGATTTTTGGGTACAGAGACAGAACTGGGAAAAGCCTATATCTCTTCCTGATGAATCCATTCAGGAAGCTTGAGATGCATATGGACCAGAGGTGAGGAAGGGATGGAGATAAGTGTGTTGGCTTTAAAGGCATGCAATATTTAATCCATGCAGTAGAGTGAGGTTTTCAGAGTCCTTTTTGGGGAGTGAGACTGAAGTCCTAGAGAGTGGGTTATGAGGTAACTCTCACATCTTGAGCCTTTTGTGAAGATTGTTCTTCTAATTTCCATCCTTCTCCTAGAGGTGGTCGTGGTGACAGGACTGGCCGCTATGGAGCCACTGACCGTTCCCAGGATGATGGTGGAGAGAACCGTAGCCGGGACCATGATTATAGAGACATGGACTACCGCTCATACCCCCGAGAGTATGGCAGTCAGGAAGGCAAGCATGAGTATGACGACTCATCTGAAGAGCAAAGTGCAGAGGTGAGAGCAAAGCCAGGCCTTGGGGGTACTGCTCCTGAAAGGCCTGTGTGTCTGGCTGCAGCCCAGGTGTAGGCAGTGCTCTGCTCCTGTGCCTTTTGGATTGCTCGGTTGCTTTGCATCACCATGGAAGGATCTGTCCCTGCTCCTTCTCTGAGGGGTCTTTTCCTAAGTTGGGTCTCCCTGGCTTCCACACTGCTTGATTCCGTATTTCTCAGGGCTCCTAGCCACTACTTCTTTCCCTTCTTCCCTGTTGTTCAGTTTTGGCCTTTGGTTCACTGCAAGCACTATACTGCCTGCCCCCACCATTTAGGGCACTCACAAGATCTCTTCCATGGGACCCAGCATCTAGGGTTGGGAGGACAACCTGAGTACAGAATATCATTCAAGCCAAATAACTCTGGGAAGCTAATACTGGGTGTTCCTGGTCTTGACAAAACCTCTAGACTGAAAGAAAGGAAAGGAACTCTGGGGAAGCCAATTCATGTGGGTAATTACCTCTAGCCTAAAGGATGAGGCATGATGTTCACCATGAGAAAGCCCACATCTGAGGGCTAGAAACACCTTTGCCTTAGAGAACTTCATTATGAGGGAGCCAGTCAAAGACCTGGTACAATCAGATAGGCACACAGCTCTCTGTCTAGTAGGATGGAAAGGTTACACTTGCAAGCCCAGCCCTGAGAAGGAATTGTATTTGAGCTATCCTGTAGCCTCTGGGTGGAGGGGCTATTTGATGATTCCCCTGGTGGACCACCAGCTTTGTTTGGTTAGCCAGGTTCTATAGGCATCCAGGCTTCTCTGTTGCCTGCTCTTGAGCAGTGTCTCTTAATGTCTCCATGAGTACAATGGATCCTGGAAAGAGACTTGGGACAAGTATAGAGTACAGCATCCAATTGTCTGGACCTATCCTCTGTGGGTAGAAAGGCTTAGGCCTGACCTGCTTAGTATTGAAATTAGTAGATTGAACAACATTAAGAATCAGCAACTGCACTCTGTTGTGAAAGATAGTGAAGAGAGACTTTGTCAGGGCTGAGGAACAAGGATCAAGGAGGAGCATAGTAGCCCACCAACTTCTGTTGGCTGCCTCTAACCCATATCTGACACTATTTCTAAACTGTTGGCTTAGTTCCAGAGCCCAATTTTAGAGTGGGAACAGTGTTTTTCAGTGGTACAGTAAACAATTGTATACATACCAGCTGAGCTGGCAAAGGAAGAAAAGGGAAGAAATTGAAAGCAAAGTCTAGTTTGCTGAACCCAGGCTAGTTTATCCCAAGGAGATTTAAGCTATGTTTTTATCAACTTGCCTTTGGGAGCCTCCTCCACACCAAACTGCCATTCTTTGAAGACAGCTCCCAAAAGTATCCTGTGGAACATTTGCTGCCTTAAAAAGGCTACAGTCCAAGGCCTACCCACTCTGCCTGCCTGAGCCTTTAACCGGAGCCCGCCTGCCCACCCCTGGCTTTCAGAGCCTGCCTGTCTCAGAGAGCCATCGGCCAGCCACTAGGCCCACCCAGACTGACTGCCCGTCTGGTGTCTCTCATCTTATTCTGTCGGCCAGGATTCCTACGAGGCCTCCCCGGGCTCCGAGACTCAGCGTAGGCGGCGGCGGAGGCACAGGCACGGTCCCACTGGCCCGCCAGGCTTCCCCAGAGACGGCGACTATCGGGACCAGGACTATCGGACCGAGCAAGGGGAGGAGGAGGAGGAGGAGGAGGAGGATGAGGAGGATGAGGAGGAGGAGAAGGCCAGTAACATCGTCATGCTGAGGATGCTGCCACAGGCAGCCACTGAGGATGACGTACGTGCCCCCCCAATGGCCCTGGGCAGGTGGCAGAGCAGGAGACCAGGCTGGGTCTTCTCCAGGGCCCTCAGCTTTTCTCTACCCATCCTTTGCAACCAACCACAGCACCTTCCCTCTCTTCTCCCCCACCAGCTCCTGTCCCCAGCACTATTCATCCTCTGGGATGGGCCCCACCAGTTCCTGGTATGGAAGAGAGAAGGCAGCAGGCAGGCTGGCTTAGTCCAGGAGCAGTAGCTATGGGTGTGAGAGAAGAGCATCTCTCCTGCACATTCCATTGGCTTTGGCCCTTTTCTTATATGTGGATAGAGAACCAAGCCCAGTGTTGGATGGTCTTGGTGGCAGAGACCCATAAGAGTGAGGTGTTAGGGCCCATAGGCTTTTCTGAAATTCCATATTCCTCCCTTGTCAGCAGTGACCGCCTAGCCACTTGATAGTTTCTTGACCCTGTTTGCCTTTGTGACATTCTCTGCCTTCCATCTTCCTCTCTTCATTCATTTCCTTCTCATGCAATTGGCTTATGGCAAGTCACATTCAAAATCCAAGAGTATTACTAAAGTAGAGTTTTAACTAGCCTCCCTGATCCTTGTACCCCTCACTGCCTCAGTCCCAGTCAGTTCTCCGAGTGGTTCTTCCCTGAAAGCCTGCCAGCTGACCATTTGGTGACAGTAGTGATCCCACCTAAGAAATCCTTGTAGGATCAGGCTATTTGCTGACATTTTTACCTGAGGTTTTATGGTTGGGTAGGCCATGTGCCAGGTTGATTGAATCCTCACAGAGGCTCTTTCTGGAAGATATTAATTGTAGTCAGTCCCACATAGCTCCAATCAGCAAAGTGACTTGCTTCATGTTCCAGCAAGTGGCAGAGTAGAGTTGGGGTCTAAACCTGGACTGCTGGACCCCAGAGCCCAGTGTTCTTGTTATTTTCCAGGCCCTCCCGGATTGGACTCTTGATAAGATTTGTGTGTCTTTATATACTTTTCATCTTCTTGCATACTTATATGCGTAAGACTTAATTTCTTGTCTGCTATCCTGATGGGGAGCTGATGCAAAAAGTATCTGGCAAAAAAGAGGTACTCCCAGCCTAGGGATTGCCTCACTCGGGGTCCTAAGTTGCCTCTATAGTTTCCCTCAGGTTCATTTAACTCAGGTAGCTTTCCAGATCAACCACCATGCCTTTTTGTCTTTAAGTTTCTCCTCCTCATATGGCTGAAATGGCGGCTCCTGTCCTTCTCTATGTCATAGGTAGTAGCTTTTGGTGCAAGTCAAGGAGAGGGAAGAGGGAGTAATTCCTTTGTGGTGGACAAGAATTGCATTCCAGCTTCTAATCTTCCAGGCTACTATTAAGCCTCTTTTCAGATCACCCTGCCTACCATTCCTGACTTGCTATCTCACGTACTTGCCTGATGTCTTTGTGCCCCTGGGGATCATCTTGCTACCATCCTTTACCCTGTACTATTTCTATCTTTGCTTTACTCACTTTCTTCAAGTCCATGGCTGGAAGCAAGACTGAGTACTATCATGGGTTGCAGTTGTTGTTACTGTGGAAAGATTTGAAAGAGGCAGAAGAGGCGCTGTGCATGCGTGCGTGTGCGTGTATGTATATTTGTGTGTTGACCTCCTATACTTAACCATTTTCTTTGCTAAACCCATCCTGCTTTATTTCTTGAGCAGATTCGAGGCCAGCTGCAGTCCCATGGTGTCCAAGCACGGGAGGTCCGGCTGATGCGGAACAAATCCTCAGGTGAGCTTTTGTTCCCAGGGCCTTCCCCTTCTGCTAGCTAGCCTCGGCCTCCAAATCTCCCTTCTGCCTCTGCCTTTCCCTTCCTCTTCCCCTCCCTACTTCCCTTCCTGCCACAGCTGGGAATGGGCAGCTTGGGGGGTACCCTCTCTTTTTCTCTTTCATCCCCAACTCGCAAAGCTCTAGCCAGCAGCCTCTACAGGGGGGCTGTCCTGAAGGGGATGCAGCTCTGGGCTGAGCTGACTATTCCCCAGGGGCAAGGCCAGAGCCAGGCTCTGGAAAACCTCTTCTTTGGGACTCTGAGTATCTGAGCTGGTGACCCCTCCTAGGACATATACTTCCTTCTCCTTCCTCTGCCCCTTGGTCTCCTCCACATCACTTTGACAACAGCCTCTAACCAAAAGTAGGTCTCACATGAACCCACCCATATGTCCCACGAGGGGAGGCAGGGGATGGAGTGGCTCTCTCTAAAAGTGTAACCTAAAGAGCTGCCAGAAGTTTCTGGCCTCAACCTGTTTTCTCCCTCCCTCTTGCAGGCTGCTTGGAGCTAGCCTGAGGATTTAGCAGGGTGGGTGGAGTTGTCTCTGCAGGACCACTGCCCAGGATCCCCAAGGCAGAAACAGTGGGGCCTCACTCTGCCTGGGCTTCTCTTTTCAATCTCAGTCTCTCCTCCTTACACCTCCTCCCTCTCTCCATCCTCCCTTGCCCTCCCCCTATACTATTCCATCCTCCAATGCATCCTGATGGCAATTCTTTTGGAGATCAAGCATGCCCCTCCAGACCCACCACATCCAAAGCCTCCTTCCATTGCTACCTCAGAATGAGTTACTTTCCCAGAATTGCGAGCCCAGAGGCCCTGGCCAGGCCTGGAGTCTGTCTCATGACATATTGTAGGTCTTGCTCTGCTTTGTTCTAGCTGTGCCATTCACTGACAGAATCTGTGTTCCTTTCCCTAAGGAGACATCCCAGGTATGGCCTCTCAGTGGCTTTGGACATTTCTCCTAGGCACCTGTTGATTCTTACCTGTAATGTCCTTTTGACCAGCTCCAGCCACCATCTTCCTATTTAGGAGAATCTTGGCTGTCAGTGGTTATAGTTAGTCTCCCCACTGTGGCCCTGAAGTGGCTCTCTAGTGATTTTCTTCCCCTTTACCTACACCAAGGTTAAGCTGAGACTCTGTTCCTAACCACTCCCTGGTTTCCTATGTGCTGGCCAGGAATACTCCCTCCCATAGCCGCACAGACCAACTTAGCCTGACTTCTCTTTTGATTAAACACCTGATCCAGTAATCCTGGCCTTGCTCTAGGCTTGCCCATGAGTTATTTGCTTTGGCCTATATGGAGTCAAAGCAGCCTCCTCTTCTAGAGACACATCTCTCCTTGTATCACTTCCCTCTCAGTTCTCCATCTATCACCCCAAGCTGGCTAGGCAAGTCTGCCTGAGCCCCCCCATCTCACTGCACAGTTGGGATATATGTCTCCTATCCAGATCTGACTCTCCTATTCTTATTTTCTTCCCTTCCCCTTTCCTTCTTTCCTGCCCTTCCCAACCAACTACCTTGACTCCTACCTTCCCTGTTCTTTCTCTCTCTGATCACTTTTCTCTTCCTTTCTCCTCTTCCCCTTCCCTCTCTGCCCCTGGTCCTCTCCCCTCGGGTTCTGCCCCCGGGAACGCCGTGTGTCCAAAGCTGTTGACTAACCCACTGCGTCTGTATCTGAATGCTGTCTCCAGGTCAGAGCCGGGGCTTCGCCTTCGTCGAGTTTAGTCACTTGCAGGACGCTACACGATGGATGGAAGCCAATCAGGTTGCTTTGCCGCACTTGAACCCCCCCCCAAACAAATACTACTTTATAATCGAGCGCTCCCCATCGCCTGAATCTTAAGGACACAGTTACCTGTCCTGTGGCCCTGTGTCCCCATACCCCTGTCCCCTTTCTCCCCCCCTTCCTGACCCCCCACTATTTCCTCTTCCCATCTCTCACTACCCACTGGGCTTCCCATCTGGGGCCCCGCTCTCAACACCATACCCTGGCCCCTTCCTGCTGCCAGGTACTAGTGCTCCCTCACCTCTCCTGGCTGAGCTTTCAGAGAAAGAGCTGCCAGGGTAGGTTCCTTCCCCTAGCTCCCCACACCCCAGCGGGACCCTTCTGCTCCCAAGTTAGCAGAGCCAGAACTTGGTTGTGCTCTCAGGACCACTGAAATCCTGCCACTGGGGAACTTAGATGTTGGCACACAAACTAGCAAGACTTGTTTTGCTAGGTCTCTCCTGCATGTGAATCTGGCTCTCTGAGTTCCATGCAGAGGGACAACACTGCTTTTGGTTGAAAGTTTCAGTCAAGTGTGATAGTTTTATTGACACCCTAGGCTCAATTCACTGGTCCCTCCCATTCACAGCACCCTCCCCACCCACAGGAGGCCCCACCTCTACCTTCTCAATAAGGAACTGTGCTCTGTCAGCAACGGAGGGAGCTGGCTCCCCTAGCCTGGCACTGGATCCCAACTCAACTGCGTTGGGACCTTCCAAGACTCAAGGGTCTAAACTGGCTACCCAGCCCTATCCTATCACTGGTGTAGAGCACTAGAGAGAAGTGTCAGGGGAGGAAGGGGCAGCCGTGGTGAAGTGGAGGGTCCTGGTCGAGGCAACCCGGTGGCCGGCTCTGTGGGTCAATAGGCTAGTGCGGTGGGCCCAGGACCTGGCCAACCTTGGGAAGGTGGCCTCATGGCGGGAATCCTCCGTCTGTTTAAATTGGCTTTCTTTTTCCCCTTCTCCAGCACTAGCGCTCGTGCGCTCTTTCTCTTTTTCTCTCCCTTCCCTCCTCTCTCTTCCCAGCCCATCTCCCCTCATTCCCAGTTTAGCCTGTGTAGTGCTGGCTCTGGGTGTGGCCTGGCACTGTCAGGACCAAGCTGGGGGAGCACTCCCAACTCGGCAGTCGTTGGTCAACCAAGCACTATGTGCCTGATTTGTGTGTGTGTGTGTGTGTGTGTGTGTGTGTGTGTGTGTGTGTGTGTGTACGTGTGTGTACGTGCGCGCACTCGTGCAACAAGTAGCTGTAGCCTGAGAGCTGTGGTGCTTTCCTTCCCTCCCTCCGTTCCTTCTTCCCTCCATCAGTTCTCCAAACTCCCTTCATTCCCTGTCCCTCATCCATCCAGCTGAAGGGCTCGCTCACTCTCTTCTCCTTTGCTGAAACGGTGCGTGGGGCACTGCTACCTAGGCCTCACTGTGCTTTGCTTTTTCCCACAGCATTCCCTCAACATCCTGGGCCAGAAGGTATCCATGCACTACAGTGACCCCAAGCCCAAGATCAATGAGGACTGGCTGTGTAATAAGGTACAGGGGTGGTTGGGCAGCTGGTGCTAGGGAAGAGTCTGCCCCAGCAGCTCACTCTCTCAGAGCCTGTGAGAGGAAGTGTGCTCTTGGAAATAGGTTGTCCAGCCCCAGTCATCAAGGCTCTTCCCTCATCAAACACAGCCTGGACTAAAGGCCCAGTAGATTTGAAAGAAATAATAGCATTAAATGACTAATTAGTGACAACATAAGCCTACTACAGTGTGTAGAACATGGGCTTCAGAGCCAAGGCTGCTTGCAGACTGTTTCAGGTCTGCGTTGATGGTGGTCAAGGTGCTTATCCTATATGTACATCACTTTTCTTCATCTTTAAGAGGTGAGCACTAAAGTTGTTGGGAGAATGAAACTCTTGATGGGAGAGCAACATAGAAAGACTTCTGGCCCACATTCAACTCTTAAGTAGCTGTTGTTACCATTGAAAAGAAGTACAGAGTGTTCTGAAGATAACTCAACCTTGAAAACTACCCTGATATAGCCATGTCACTATTAAGCCTCGAAGGCCCACCCCGTTGGTTGTGTGATCACCACCATATTCCCTAAGAGAAAGCCGAGGCTCAGAAAGGTGGAACCTGAATGCGCCTTTAGCTCACAAGGCCACCTCCTGTTCCCAAAGTGGCCTTAGGTCTGCCCTGAGGCCAGCTTTGCCATTCTACAGCTTCATCTACCAGGGCTATCTTGTAGTCTGGAAATCTAATAGGAAGACTGAGAGCTAGTGGAGAGCCCTATCTTCTCCCTGAGAAGCAAGCTCGTTAGTGGGAGAGTGGCATCTGCCATCTTTGTATAGGAGAGGCATCTAACCTCTCTGGAAAGAGGAGGAGAGTGATAGTGGCACTTGATCTTTTTTCATATTTTCCTTGAAACCAGTGTTTCTTTATCTTCTTCCCCTCCTTTGTGTCCCACATGTCTTTTGGTTACCATATCCTGTCACTTTCATCCCAGAATAGCCACCCTCCCTTCTTTGCCATTCTCTCACAGTTCTTGCCAATTCCTGCACCCTCCCACCCAGTTCTCACAGAGCCCTCCTTGTTACACTAGCCTCACCCTTTTTCTCCACCCTCATCTGTAATGTTACAGTTGAAACCCAGCTCTGACCATGCCCTCCCATTTCTGTCTAAAACTCCAATAACATCTAGTTTCAGCATGATGTCCTCCTTTACCTGTCACCATCTTCCCTTGCCAGTCTTGGCTTTTGTCTCTCTGCATGCTCCATTCACCAACTGTAGAAAGTCTCTTAGTCCTTCCACTAAGATCCCCTCCCAGCAAAACTAAACTTCTAAGGCTTCCCAGGTTTAAATTTCCTGCTTCTGTGTAGCCCAACCCAGTGAACGGTGATCCTCTTAGCCCATTCTGTGATCCTGACCCCTGTCAACACCGTTTAAACAGACTTCCTGATCACATGATGTAGGGCCTGACCCAGTCATACCTGACTGGACCAGGGATATAATGTGATGGAAGCTGGACAAGGTCTTTGGTGGCTGGAATATCTATCCAAGGGGGGAAAAAATCAAAAATTCAACCTAGTCCTAGCAATAAAGAATGGGAAGGGTCTGACCAAAGGCTTCAGTAGGAAACAGTAAAGGTTTCTGTTAGGTAAACATGTCTCAGCAAGAAGGTTCATGGGATACCTTCTTGAGAGTTGACAGTCTCAACAAGATGGGCAGGGGAAGCAACTGCTGTAACACTCGAGGGTTGTGTATTGCTGAAGTAAGAGGGCTGGTGCGGGGAACCAGTTGTTAGAGAAGAGTCAGAGGATTGAAGATGATAACGAAAGTTCCACAAGACTCCTGCCACCCCTGACCCCGAAAGTTCCCTTCCTGGGGATTATTATGTTGTTCTGTGGGTCCATATTTGGAGGATATCATGGAAAGTCCTGACCACCTGGCCTGTGCCTCACAGTGTGGTGTCCAGAACTTCAAACGCCGCGAGAAGTGCTTCAAATGTGGTGTACCCAAATCAGGTGAGCCATACTGACTGGGATGACAAGAGGAGCGAAGGGCCAGTGTGCAAGGGTGGGGAGTGTGACCAGCCATGGAGCTTCCACCTTCATCATCAGCCTATCTATCTCCTACCATCCCTGACAGAGGCAGAGCAGAAGCTGCCCCTTGGCACACGATTGGATCAGCAGGCACTGTCGCTGAGCGGGCGGGAGCTAAGCCAGGGCCTACTCCCACTGCCGCAACCCTACCAGGCCCAGGGAGTACTGACCTCCCAAGCCCTGTCACAGGGCTCAGAGCCAAGCTCCGAGAACGCCAATGACAGTGAGTCAGTTGTTCTTTCCTCCTCCTTCTGTGCCTTAGGGCCTCTGGTCTGGGACCTCTGAAGGCAGAGAAATGGTAATGAACAAAACTTGGCCCTTACTGATCGTGTTTCTTCCTGGTGTGGGGATAATAAGCACATGATGTAGAAGGAACAAGGGAGGGTCTCTCTACAAACTAATTCTGGGGGTATGTGAGAGGGTTCCTGGTAGATGAGAGACAAGCAGAGTTTATTCAAGAGGAACAGGTGAAAGGAAGCAGAAGGTACATGAGTGTGGAGCAACTTGGGGCCCTAAGCAGACTGAGAGGTGCATCCTAACATTGGGCCCCTTCCCCACAGCCATTATTTTGCGCAACCTGAACCCACACAGCACCATGGACTCCATCCTGGGGGCCCTAGCACCCTATGCGGTGCTGTCCTCCTCCAATGTGCGTGTTATAAAGGACAAGCAGACCCAGCTGAATCGAGGCTTCGCTTTCATCCAGCTCTCCACCATCGTGGTGAGGGCGGCACAGGGGGGGGCCGGGCAGCTATGGTCCCGGCCCCCGGGGTAGGGAGGAGGGTCCTTTACCCCACCCCCACCGCGGTCCCAATGTAGAAATGGGGCAATGGAGCCGGGGGGCCTCCCCGGACCTGACCCTTTCGTCCACCCATAGGAGGCAGCCCAGCTGCTGCAGATCCTGCAGGCCCTGCACCCTCCGCTCACCATCGATGGCAAGACCATCAACGTGGAGTTTGCCAAAGGTTCTAAGAGGTCAGACCCTCACCTAAGCCCTCCTACAGCTCCCCCCCCCACTACCTTGGTGCTCCCCATTTCATTTCCAGTTTCTACTATCCTCCCCAGGGATATGGCCTCCAATGAAGGCAGTCGAATCAATGCTGCCTCTGTGGCCAGCACTGCCATTGCTGCTGCCCAATGGGCGATCTCACAGGTACTTTGCCTCCTCTGCCCCATCACCATAGCACCTGTCTTTCATTACCCTTCTGTCCTCTTTCTGCAAACACCAAGTTTGGCTTATTATCAAACTGTTATGCCCTGTTTATAACAGGTGTTGTAGGCCTTTCACTTTGCTCCTGCCTCTACAGACAGTGATCCATTTCCACTCCATCTTCTATCCTTTCCAGTCACCTTGGGCTTCTTTCTTTTTTAAGATTTTTTTATGTGTATAAGTGTTTTGCCTGTACTTATGTATGTGCACCATGTGTATGTAGAATTTTGAATTGCTGTGAATAACTATTGGGTGCTTGGAACTGAACCTGGGTCCTTCACAAGAGCAGCAACTTCTCTTATCTGCTGAGCCTTTTTTCCATCCCTATTTCCTGTACTTTTTTCTTTGGATTGGTGCTCTGGTGGAACCTAAATTGTTATAATGTTGTGTAGGGGGGTGGGGGGAGAGAAAGATGTGTTGCTTATGTAAGTATATATTCCCATGAATAAAAAGGAAGTTACAAGTATCTAAAAATTTTTGGGAGCCAAGTGTGCTGGTAAACACCAGTGATCAAAGCTCTTATGAGGTGGAGGCAAGAGGATTGGATTTTCAAGGCCAGTCTTTGACTTTATAGTGAGTTTGAGGCCCTGTCTCAAAACCAAAAAAAAAAAAAAAAAAAGGAAAAAGAAGTGAAATTTTTGGTAGAGAATAAAGACTAGGAGGATAGATAGCAAGGTATGATGCATACCTATAATTCTAGCACAGAGTGGGGACTGAGGCCAAAGGCAGGAGGATTGCTACACGTTCCAGGCCACCATGACCTACATAGTTGTACGAAGGAGGAAAGAGGAAAACATGAAGAGATTTCGGGTGTCTTGCTTGGTCTAAGGCCTAGCACATATACCTCATCAGTAGCAGCCCAGGGCGGGGGCCCATTTGAGCATGTACCTTTTTTCTAGTCTCTTCTCCCATTGTTGTTGTCAGTACCCCTTATTCTTTACTGCCTTAAGGCTGCATGCTTTTCTGTTAAGTGGGAATGCTAACTCCATTTGTAGGACAGATGCTTCTAGCAGATCTCTTCCTTTATGTCCTCTCCTGTTCTAATGATCTCTCACCTGCCTCTCAGGCCTCCCAGGGTGGAGAGAGTGCCTGGGCTGCCCCTGAGGAGACACCAGTTGACTACAGCTACTATCAACAGGATGAAGGCTATGGAAGCAGCCAGGGCACAGATACCCTATATGCCCATGGCTATCTTAAGAACACCAAGGGTCCTGGAATGACTGGAACCAAAGGAGACCCGGCTGGAGCTGGTGAGCCTCATCCTCTCTTGCTGAGCATAATTGTGGGGCCTAGCGACCTACTGTCTTATGCTCTAACATTCATGGGTATTCCTTGCTTTTCCTTTCAGGTCCTGAGGCCACCCTTGAGGCTGGGGCAGACTCTGTGTCACTGCAGTCTTTCTCCCGAGCCCAGCCTGGTGCTGCCCCCGGGCTTTATCAGCAATCAGCTGAGGGAAGCAGTAGCCAGGGCACAGCTTCCAATAGCCAAGTGAGGATAACATTCATGCTCTGGGGAGGCTGGTGGGTTGGCAGGGTGCATCTTGAGTGGGCAGGATGGTATTAACAAACACTGAGTCCTGTTGCCTTTTGTGATCCATGAGCAGTCATACACCATCATGTCACCTGCTGTGCTCAAGTCTGAGCTCCAGAGTCCTACTCATCCCAGCTCTGCCTTACCACCAGCCACCAGTCCCACTGCCCCAGAGTCCTACAGCCAGTACCGTGAGTAGCTATACATAGCCCGTGGGTAAGGGTGTGGACTTCTCTAAGCAAGGAGGAATTTGACAACCTTGTCTTTGATCCCCCCCAAAGCTGTTCCTGATGTCTCTACTTACCAATATGATGAGACATCTGGCTACTACTATGACCCCCAGACTGGTCTATACTATGACCCCAACTCCCAGGTAGGTGACAAGGTGGCCTAGGAAAAACTGGAGTGTGGTTGTGTGGCAGCTAGCCCTAGAGGTCCTCCCTCATGTTGCCTCCTCCATTCTCTTCCTCAGTATTACTACAATGCTCAGAGCCAACAGTACCTATACTGGGATGGGGAGCGGCGGACCTACATACCTGCCTTGGAGCAGTCTGCTGATGGACATAAGGAGACAGGGGTATCATCAAAGGAGGGGAAAGAGAAGAAAGAGAAGCATAAGACAAAGACAGCCCAACAGGTAAACCTCCAGCTATCATTTCCTGTTTGGATTCTATGTTCTGTCACCTCTTGCCCTCTCCTGCTTAAGGGAAAGTAGGGTAGTGGGTGGGAAAGTAAGGACTCTTGAGCCTAATCTATTATTGGTGGGTACTGTAGCAGAACCACCTACCACCATGAAGTGACTTATACCATCTGAGTGAGCTCTGGCAGCCTTTCTTTGTCCCTGGAAGGGAGCCTTCATGCTGCTGGTTGTTGATTAACAAAAGAAAAACTGCAGGGTTTTCTGTAGAAAGCAGTTAGAGAGAACCTCTGTGTCTCTGTAGAGAAAAGGTATGATTTTGAAGCACAGTACTTAGAAGCAAACAATAAATATTCCCTCAGTAACCTGAGGAATTATGAAAATGATTCATGCCATGGAGGAAAACATAAAACATTAAATGTGACACCATGTCACATGTCTTAGATTTCTGTTGGTATGATAAACACTGACCAAAAGCAATATGGGCATGAAAGGGTTTTTCATCATGAGCAGAAGTCAAGGAAGGAACCTGGAGGCAGAAAGTGATGTAGACACCATTGAGGAGTGCTTCTTACTGGCTTGCTGTCCATGGTTTGCTCAGTCTACTTTCTTATACAACTCAGAACCTAGGAGGTGGCATTGCCCACAGTGAGCTGAGTCCTACCACATTGGTCAGTAATTAAGAAAATGCCCCAGAAACTCACCAATAGGCCAGTCTGTTGGAAGCAGTTTCTTAATTGAGAGTCCCTTTTCCCAGATATGTCTAGGTTTGTATCATGTTGACAAAAACCAACCAGAACATCACACATAAGTTAAAATTATATACAACGCTAGGGGTGTGACTCAGTGAAAGAGTGCATGTCTAGTATAAGGCCCAGTTACTCCCCCATCCCTGTACACAAGTATGTATCTCTCTGCATTTAGAAAGTAAAAATGAAAGAACAAATAATACAAGTGCCAGTCAGAAGTTGGGGTTACAGCCAGGTGGTAGTGTCCTTAATCCCGGCATTTGGGAGGCAGAGGCAGGTGTATCTCCAAGGCCAGCCTGGTCTACAGAGTGAGTTTCAGGATGGCCAGGGATATACAGAGAAATAAACCTGTCTCAAGAAAGAAGTAGTTGGGGTTGTAACCAGAGGGAGGCTTGAACAAGATCCCAGGCCAATATAAAGTATGATCTTGTACCACCACCACTGCCCCACAGCCCTTCTGACCAGCTTGCTCTGCCTCCCAATTGTATCTGCCTTCCTTACCCACACTACTACTGCTGCCTTTGCCTTTGGAAGCTACGTGGAGTGGGTGGGAGGCAGGGGAATGTTTGGAAATGGGGCCAGTAGATGAAAGGGATCCTTGGCATGAATTTGAGTTTATTTTAATAATTGGTTTGGAGGAGGTGGAAGTATTTGGGCCTTGTTTATAATTTTTCAAGAAATGTTCTACAAGGATTAGGCCCAAGAACTATAGCCCAGAAGCTGGGTATACACAGTACCACTTGAGGCTACAGGGCAGGAAGGGCTCCTGTTGCAAGGGTCATGGGTAAGAGAATAGAGCCCCAAGTTTGAGGAATTCTGGAAACTTTAATCCCCCCCCCTTTCCAGATTGCCAAGGACATGGAGCGGTGGGCCCGCAGTCTCAATAAGCAAAAAGAAAACTTCAAAAATAGCTTCCAGCCTATTAGTGCCCTACGAGATGATGAAAGGCGGGAATCGGCCACTGCAGATGCAGGCTATGCCATCCTTGAGAAGAAGGTGTGTTGTAACTATCCATCTGTACCCCACCTACAATCTCATTACTCCTTAGGGCCCTCTGTGGAGCCCTCAATTTCTGTGTCCTTTACCTCAGGGAGCACTAGCTGAAAGACAGCACACCAGCATGGATCTCCCAAAGTTGGCCAGTGATGACCGCCCAGTGAGTTGTCAGAGCAAAAGGGGCAGGGGTCTCTGATCTCAGCAAGGCTGGCTGACTATGCACCCTCACTGTCTACAGAGTCCACCTCGAGGGCTGGTGGCAGCCTACAGCGGGGAGAGTGACAGTGAGGAGGAGCAAGAGCGAGGAGGTCCTGAGCGGGAAGAAAAGCTCACAGACTGGCAGAAGCTAGCCTGTCTGCTCTGCCGCCGCCAGTTTCCCAGCAAGGAGGCACTCATCCGGCACCAGCAGCTCTCCGGGCTCCACAAGGTAATTGAAAAGAGAGTTGGCAGGATATCCTGTGTCTAGCCCATTCCAGCCCAATTGCTTTACTCTCCTGTTCCCCTTTACAGCAAAACCTTGAGATTCATCGGCGAGCCCACTTGTCAGAAAATGAATTGGAAGCACTAGAAAAGAATGACATGGAGGTGAGATGTGACCCACTGCTGGGCTCCATTCCATCTGCCCCTGTCCCTGTCACTCCAGGCAGTGGAACTTAAAATTAAAAGTTCCTTAGCCAGGTCCAGCCTGACAGCCATGTGTTATCCTGTTAATGTGAGACTTCCTCCCAGTTCCCATTCCATTGTGTCCTGACCTTCAGGACCTAGGACCAGGCCAGACAGAGAGACCTGTATGCCTTCCCCCAGCCCCATCCATGCCTATGTGTGCTGAAAATAGCAGCCAGTTTCAACATCCTCCCATGCACTAATTTCTAGCAAATGAAGTACCGAGACCGTGCAGCTGAACGCAGGGAGAAGTATGGTATCCCTGAGCCACCCGAGCCCAAAAGGAGGAAGTATGGTGGCATATCTACAGCTTCTGTGTGAGTGCAGGGCCAGGTACCAGGTGAGGGGTTCTGGGATTGGCACACCACTCACATGGTACACTGTCACCTGCAGTGACTTTGAGCAGCCCACTCGGGATGGATTAGGCAGTGACAACATTGGCAGTCGCATGCTCCAGGCCATGGGCTGGAAAGAAGGCAGTGGTCTGGGTCGCAAGAAACAGGGCATTGTGACTCCCATTGAGGTGAGTCTATGAGCCATTCTTGTTCCCAACACTCCCAGTGTACCTCTACCAACCTGATAAAACCTGTCTTTCTTACACAGGCCCAAACACGGGTTCGAGGGTCTGGCCTGGGTGCCCGGGGCAGTTCCTATGGGGTCACTTCAACAGAATCCTACAAAGAGACACTGCACAAGACAATGGTGACCCGCTTCAATGAGGCCCAGTGAACAGCTTTGAAAGCAGTTTCTACAACGTGGGACAGAGAAGATGAGGTGTGGAGTGGTCTGAGAGGCTCTTCTATCTACCAACCTGCTCCCTAACCAGAGAAGCTCTCACCAAATTAGACTTGGAGTTGGTGACTTTTGCTGGGAAATTGGGCTCAAATCATGTTCCTTTTGTAATAAAATCTAAAAGCCTGCATCTTCCATGTCTACATGGTTTGTGATTACTTAGGCACAGAATTCATAAATAGCTGTTAGATTAAGCTGGATGGCAATGGTTCTAACCAGCACCTCAACTGGCAATATTCTGGTCATTGCCCACCCCTTGTAAGAGACTGAAGTTTGTGGTTCAAGACTTGGATTGGGAATTCCCAATCCTGTCTTCACTTAACCCTCACCTGTTCTTAGACTGTGATCTCCAGACTAAACTCTGATTTGCCATTCCTGGGCTGGGGACACTGTTTTCCAGCATCTATATGTAGAACACAACAGGTGCTTAAACCTTGGTTGTGCCTATACTCTCAACATGTTGATGACCCCAGAGCTTGGTCTGTAAGTCTCCAGCCCAAGGATATCTCCATGAGCACCAGTCAAATTCATCCTTCTTCCCTCCTTCATCTGCGTCTACAAACAGCACCTGACTCTGGTCTACAGCCATGGCTTCCAGGTTATGCTTAGGTCAGTGGCAGAGGTTCTCAGTGCAGTGGGCATAAAACTGGGATTGCCTTCTAAAGCCCAGTCAGGTGGGTGGCAAAACAAGGCTAGGAATCCAGGCCTAACTTGACAGGTGTGTTTCCTTCCTACCCTAGAGCACCATTACCTGAATCCCCAGGGAACCCACACACCTTGGCAACTTTAGGGTAAAATGGTATGGCAAACTGATTACATACAAAGTTAAACGTGCATGTGCCCTATGACTTAGCAATTCCACTCACAGTTATCTAGCCAACATAAATCTAGCCAGCTGTATTTATAATGCCTCCAAACTGGGAATAGTCCAAAAGTCTAACAAAACAAACTTGATGTACTTGTAAAATGAAATATACAATGCTAATAGAATTATCAACAAATGAACCTCACAAGCACCACTAGTTGAAAAATCAGACACTAAGGTACTGGATAATTCCACTAATATAGAACTTGGAAATCAAAGCAATTTGATGATGGTAGTTGGTAGAACAGGGTTGAGGCAGGGATGGCATTTGTCATACATAGATTATATAAGAAATTAGCAAAAGACCACCAAAACAAAAGTGTAACAACAAACAAAAGACCTAGAGACATATTGGGGTTCAAGTTTCAAGCTGAAGATCAGAAAAGCAAAGCAGCTGGTCACTAGTTCTCACTCTGCCTCAGACTGGAAGGTGATTCTGGTTCCACCAAACCTCAGGATGTAACCTCTCAGCCCGCATAGCTGGAGAAACCTGAGACTTCAATGTTTTCCTATCTCCAATGTGGCTGGAGGGTGCATGCCAGCTCTGAGACCTTGCTCCTGTCTTATATACCTCACTAATGCTGGGATTAAAGACGTGTTCCAGATGTTGAGATCAAAGGCATGAGCTTTGTTACGCTTCACTCTTGTGGAGGCCAGAATGGCTTTGAACTAACAGAGATTCCTCTCCTTAATCCTGAGTCCTAGGATTAAAGGTGTGTTATCACCACCACTGCCTGATCTCTATAGCTTGAGGCTGACTTTGCTTTCTAAATCCTCAGGCAAGCTTTAATAAATCATAAATAATATGTCACAAGAGGAAAGTGAAAATACAATGTCACTAATCTGCAAGAAATTGGTTCAGGGATAACTATTGCTCCTTACCATAACTCCACCACCACCTGAACTAAAACACTAGGATTCCCACTTGAAGTTTGGCTTTGTTTTGAGACAGGTCTCAAAACCAGGTTGCGTTCAAATTGGATATGTAAACAAGGCTGGATTTGAACTGATCTCTTCCCAAATGCTGAGATTACAGACATGTGGCACCATGCCCAGCACAAGTTCCTTATACAAAAAGGTTAGAATATATATTTGTATAGAACCTATACACATGGGGTTAAGAACACTGACTGCTCTTCCAGAGGACCTGAGTTCAATTCTCAGCACCCACCTGGTGGCTTATAAGCACATATGATCTGGTGCCCTCATCTGGCCTGCAGGCATACACAATGGCAGAAAATTGTATAGATAATAAATAAATCTTTTAAAAAAAAGAAGAACCTATACATGCTTAAAATCATCTCTGGATGATTTGTATCTGGTACAATACATATATTCTGTAAGTTACTACACAGTATTAGGGAATGAGGAAGGAAAAGTGTGTTTTTAAAAAAAAAATCTCCCCTAATTTTTACTGGTGCTTGGTACTCTTAGCTGTCCCCTGAATATTTTCTGTCATGCTTAAATCTGCATGAACTCATGAATATGGAGCACTAACTGCAGCAAGCCCCTATGAATCATGTGCTGGGAGCTAAGCCTCTGGTCTCTTTGAGAGCAGCCAGTGCTCTGACCTACACATCCATCTCTTCAGCCCTCGAAATTTATTTAATACTGAGAAAAAATAGTAACTTTACAGTAGAGAGACCTGATAGGTGCCACCTTTACTGTTTACTAAAATTTTGTTTCCCCAAAAGACTGGATGAGAAAGAAACATCTCCTAGTTGAGTTCCCTATCCAAGACAGAGCCAGAACCTGTGTCAGGTGACATTAGACAAACTCAGACAGAGGTGAGCTACAAAAAGGCCTATGATCTTCAAAAGCATCAAGGTCAGGAACACCAAAGATTGAAGGAAACATGCCATGTGAGCATTCTAGCACCATCTCTATCATGAGGTCTGCCCTGGCTGTCTCATGTAAAATTCTCAACTCTCTCCTGCCACATTCCCGATACACCCTTGTGCTACTTTCCCCAATATTGTATAAAATCATATTTCTTCCATATTTATTGCCTATATATTTGTTGCTCTATACCTGTTGCCTGAATCGGAACAAAAGCCATCATGGAAAGGACTTTTGTCTGTCTTGCTTTTTCCTATGTCATCACTGCCTAGAACAGGGTTTGAAAATATCAGACCTTGGAGGCAGGAGTAAATGCATACACCACAACTTTTTGAATCCCTGTGTATACAGTGTTTGAGATTGAACCCAGGGCTTCACACATGGTATGCAAGTGTTCTTACCACTGAGGTACACTGCTACCCTTAGGACTCCGTTTTGAATAAAGCTCTAGTCAAACATGGTGGTGTACACCTATAGAATTGTTTTAAAAACAGTGTGAAAGAGAGATGTGATCATTCGACAGAGCTTGTGTGGAGAGTTTATTGGGGGAAGGGAATAGGAAATGGGGGGAGGGGAGGAGAGAGACTGGCTTCTGGGGACAGGAGCAGCAGGAGAGAGGAAAGAGAGGCAAAGAAAGAAAGGGAGAGCGACCGGAGGTGGGCAAGGCCCACCTTTTATAAGGGAAATGTAGTGAATGTGTACAGGAGATGTTTTTAGTAGCTGCAGCTAAAGTTCTATCCTGTCAGGACCCCAAGATCAGGCCAGTAGAGATGCCTGAATACTAACATATGGTCCCAGCTACTTGGGCAGGGGGTGGAAAGTTGGGATGAAATAAAGGATTACTTGAGCCCAAAAATCTGAGGCTGGCCTGAGCAACATAAGAAGACAAGGAATACATTAGGAGGGGGAAGGGAGGGAAAGAGGAAAATCTTGGTTATCTGGGATAGTATACGAAAAATTCCTAGGGCTCCAGAAAATAAAAAATCTTAGAGAGGCTATGAAGGAAGACAGACACCCCTCTTTTGCATACTTCCCCAATTCCCCAGGGTTTTTTTTTTTTTTTTTGAGTTATCCCTTGTAACTGAAATACCCTCCCCTCCTTTCCTCTTCCTTTTTTAAACTCCAAATCCTGCTTCAGTTACTGTATATACACTATGGCTGTATAATGCAACTTACATTATATCCTTAATGTATCCCACTAGTAAAAGTGAAGACAATTAGAAACTTAGTCACATTCATGGTTTCAGTTGCCACAAGTTCTGGTCTTCAAATTCACATCTCCAGTGTAGATTCACTCTGAATTTCATACTTAGTTTTCAATCCTTCTTCTTTTAAAAATACATTTTTAAGTAGACTTTGTTTTGTTTTGTTGAGTCAAGGTTTCTCTGTGTAACAGTTCTAAATATCCTTGAACTCACTTTGTAGACCAGGGTGGCCTCTAATTCACAGAGATCCACCTGCCTCTGCCTGCAAAGTGCTGGGATCGAAGGTGTGTACCATCACCTCCCAGCTTTTTTGTATTTTTGAAACTAGATGTCATGTAACTCAGGATACTCTAGAACTCCATGTCACTGAGGATGGCCTTGAATTCCTGATCCTCCTCCTGTCTACTTCCCAAGAGATTGTCTACAGTCACCCAACTGGTTTTGAGTCTCACAGTAGCTCAGATTGGAACTCAATGGTGTAGCTAGCCTTAGACTCTGCAGCAATCATCCCATCCCAGCCTTCAGAGTCCTGGTAATACAGGTGTGAAACACCATCCCTTGTCTCTTCTCTAGAGCAACATCATTCCTTGGGTATCTAATAGACATCTTAAATGTAATATAGACAATCTTAATTGTAATGTAGACAAAACCAAACTCTTCTTCTTGCCAAATGCCTGCTCTTTGTGGAGTATTTCCTGTACCTGTGGATGATAATTCCATTCTTCCAGCTACATAGGCCAGAAATTTGATGGGTCAACAATGGCTTTATTTTTCATACCTCAAATCTGATTGATCTCTCAGCAAATCTGGCATGTTTAAGTTTGAAATCAGTCCAGAATCAAAGCCATATGCTCTGCTTCTACTTTACTGACTTTGGCTGCTCTTCTGGCATTACTTCTTGGATTTTTGACTATTAACTTCCAGCGGTTTTCCTTCCCTGATTCCCACTGTGAATATTTTTTCCACAAACCCAGACTGTTTTTACAATTGGGCTGGGGTGTGACTCAGTTGGTAGAGTGCTGGCCCAGCATGTGTAAGGCCTTGAGCTCCCTCCCCAACACTGTAATAAAATAAATTGCTTTCATTGTGTGATTCCTGTGCTTAAAAGCCTGTTACAACTGGATGTAATGGCTCATGCCTATAATCCCAGCATTTGGGGGGCTAGGAGGATTACTGAAAATTCTAGGTCAGCCCCAGCTATCTAAATGTGTTCC